ATAGGCGTTGGACATGGCATGTTGGACGTTATGGAGTTTGGTTGATTTCAAGGATACTACTGTCACTGTTCGTCATTTGTTGTTGTGCTTTTTCCCTTGGTGCGGTGTTGGAGGGTTATCTCGAGCGTGCTTGGGTTTGGGTTTTACGGCTTCTTGGTGGCTATTGTTTCCTTTGGATTCCCCTGCAGGACGGATTTTTGATTTGCTATTTAATATAATCTTATGTTCTATATTCTTCCTCATTTCTCGTGCCCAATGCATAGTGGGACTATTCAATGGGCTTCCCGCATTGCTAGGCTTAGCCATTTCTTGGACCTCGTCGGCCAGAGAGGAAACCTTGTTTTAAAAATGTTGTACCCTTCAGCAGCTGCTATCTAAAGCTTTTCCCAAACTTTCATAAATCTTTGCTCTAGCAAGATCGATCTGCAAAGGAGTCTCTTCATGGACGGGATGATTCTCCCGCAAGGTCCTCACGATGTTGGCAATTTCCAATCAATAAATAGTGCTGTGGGGTAACACGCCTTTCCTCTTTCGGTCTTGATTGTATCACCAAATAAAAGGACCTTGGGGAAAGAGTACCTCGATAGCCAGGCGTATAGTAGCACACTGCAGAAGACATGACTACTGCATTCCTATAAATGATAAAAGCCCCTCGAGAAAGTTCATTGTCCAGAAATACTACCTACAAAAACGTCTTCGTCAAGACAATACTCTCGTTTCAGCTACAAAAAAACATACTACAATGTATCCTCCAAGCGAAATCCACGACGTGATCATTGTCGGCGCCGGACCTTGCGGTCTGGCCGTCGCCTCCCGTATCCGAGAAAACACTCCCTCCGCGGTCTTCACAGATGAGGAACACCAGCGATACCACTGGATCAAAAAACACACCGGCAAGATGAATCTTGTTCAAGCAGGACGCAGCAAGAAAAACGGTGTCCGCGCCGAGAAATGGAATCGCGGGCAAAAAGACTGTCCCTGCAAAGACGAGATGAATACGGGTTTATACCGCCGCGCGTCCACTGATTCGGCCTCATCAGTGCCATCGCTATCATCTGACTCGTCAACATCGTCAAATGCGTCGATATCGACGTTAGTTTTGGATGGAACTGGTGATCAGTGGATGCAGCGGTGGAATAATGCGTTTCGCACATTGGAGATTAAGCAGTTGCGGAGTCCGATGTTCTTTCATGTTGATCCTGGGGATCGAGATGGGATGTTGGCTTATACACAGGAAGTTGGGAGAGAGGAGGATCTATGGGAGATTTCGGGGTGTGTGGGGAAGGAAATGAGCAAGCATAAAAAGAAGAAGAGACGGCAGAGTGGAAAACCTCAGTATGTGATTTCTGCTGGCTCTGGGGGGTTCTTTTACATTCACGAGAATCAGAACTCAAGACTGATGGCAACTACTCTACAGGACCTTGGGAGTGGAAATTGATGAACGTGATCGCAAAGACTACTTCTCACCCTCGACTGATCTTTTCGCCGACTACTGTGCTTCCATTATCGACCGATATGACCTTGATGAGCCGGGCCAGATCCTCAAACAAGAGGTCACGGACATCACTTATGGATACTTGCCGGACAATCTCGACATCGAGGTGCCCAATTCCAAGGTATTCACTCTGACTACCTCGACTGGGCAGAAATTCTATGGCCGGGCCGTTGTGCTTGCAATGGGTGCGGGTGGAGCTGGAATTCAAAAGATTTTCCCTTGGAAGCCATCAAATGAGGCCGAAGGGGCTGATGCTTGCTGCCATAGCATGGAAATCAAGACATTCCCGAGTCCCAACGTGCAAGCCAAGATTCAGCAAAGACGCGAGACTCATGTGGTCGTCGTGGGAGGCGGACTTTCGTCAGCCCAGATTGTCGATATGGCCGTGCGAAAAGGTGTTACTAAAGTTTGGTTCCTGATGAGATCTGAATATAAAGGTTGGTCGTATGGCAGGTTTCCAAAATGTACTTTGGAATGAATTACTAACAAGCGAGGCAGTCAAACACTTTGACCTTAGCTTGCCCTGGATGGGAAAGTATAAAAACTGGGAAAAGGCAGCTTTCTGGTCAGCAGACACTGATGAAGGTGAGCAACGTGCAGTGAAGTCTTGGAAAGTTCCTGTGACTAACGTATATCATCACTCCCTTTTTTCCACAGAACGCCTCCAAATGATCAAATCTGCTCGCAACGGTGGCAGCATTACCCCTCGCTACACAAGAATAGTCAAACAGCATGTCGCCCGCCACCGAGCATCCATTCACACACGCACGGAAATTACTTCCCACGATTACGATCCAGAAACGCGGACATGGACTTTGACTACCGACCCGCCGATCCCCAACCTACCGCCAATCGACTACATTTATTTTGCGACGGGGGCACGCTCCGATATCCGCGAAATGCCAATGTTAAGTAATATCATTAATCAATATCCCATTGAAGTCATTGATGGTCTTCCCTGTCTCACGGACGATCTCATGTGGCGGGAAGATGTACCCCTCTACCTTACAGGGCGACTCGGGGCTCTACGACTGGGTCCTGGAGCTCCAAATCTTGAAGGAGCCAGGCTTGGCGCGGAAAGGATCGCTTGGAGCTTGGAGGAGATCCTCGAAAAAGACCGGGGCATCGGAGATCAGTGCGAGGGGTTCTGTGGACTGGGAAACCGGTATGCTTCACTGGTTGAAGATGGGGAGGGCTATAACGAGGAGGTGTAACTAGCTAGCTAGGGCTGCATTTCTCGGGCATTTGTTTGATGTGGGGAGGATTTTCTTTCTCTTTACGTCCAGCAGATCTTATTTTCCCGGGTTTTTACTCAATGACATGGCGTCATGTGAGTACTTTATCTTTTGTCCTTTGCTGGTATGGCGTCAAGGTCCATTGGACTATTGGTGCTCGGCGTCTATCCCAGTGCCTTCGGAGTTGGTTATCCATTCCTCCCTTCATTCTCCGCGCTTTTAACTAGATCATCGCTTGACCACGCTCCACTCCGGGAGGACAGCTTTACGGGCATATATGGGAGGAATGTGGATAATCCCTTGTTCAACAGAGTTTTTTTTCCTGGAGAGCTTGATGCAATTTAAAGCTTATTAGAAGCTAATTGAAGGCACTATGAGTCCTCTATTTAATTCTTGTGCTGAGCAACAGGTCTGTCAGGGTGAGGTTACTAACTTAGCAGCACAATATGGCGCCATCAATGAATCCGAATGCCCCGGTGGAGGCGTTGAAGATCCTTCCGAACAAAACACATCAGAACTGGCTCAAGGATCGGGGTCTACGGAAGTTGAATCTGGGGATTGCATTCATGTTCGCGTCGTCGGCTGGCACGGGGTATAATGGGAGCCTGATGAATGGATTGCTTGTGTTGCCTGAATGTACGGTTCAACGTGCCAGACCAAAAAAATAAGTATTCACTAACCATCTCTGATATAGTTGCCATGATCATCGGCGGCTTGAAACCTTCCATCGTCGGTCTCCTTATCGCTGCCACATCTCTGGGGGCATTCTTCGCCTTTACTCCGGCTTCTTATATTGCGGATACCCTGGGGAGAAAATGGTGTGTTGGCGTTGGATGTTGCTTGGTTATCATATCCTCGGTCTTGCAGGTGGCTGTCCAGAGTCACTGGGCCTTTTTCGGTTGTCGAGTACTCGCCGGCGCCGGCGTGGGAACTGCTCAAACTGCAGCACCACTATTGGCCACGGAGATAGCTCATCCACGCCAGCGACAGACGGCAACGGCCTTATACAACGCATGCTGGTGCATTGGATCGATTGCATCGGCGGCTGTCTGTTTTGCGACATTGTCTATCACGACTAGCTGGTCGTGGCGTACTGCTTGCCTCCTTCAAGCTTGTTTTCCGATAACCCAGCTGGTAGGCCTGTTGATTGTTCCCGAAAGTCCTCGCTGGTTGATTTCAAAGGGGAAGAATGAAAAGGCGCTGGCGATTCTCGCGGAATATCATGCAAATGGTGACATGCACGATGAGTTGGTTCAACATGAGTTTCACCAGATATGCAATACTATCAGTATCGAGGCTCTGGAACCGAGAAGCTGGGGCTCGTTCTTCTCGTCCAAGGGTGATATTCACCGTCTGGTGATTTGCGTCATGGTTGGTCTGATGCAGGAATGGGCTGGAAATGGTAAGATCTGTCATACTCGAAGGTTAAAGGAATCTCACTGACAGGATATAGGAATCATCTCGTATTATCTGGCCCCAATTCTGGCCTCTGTCGGTGTCACCCGAGCCGCAGACCAAGCGTCAGTCAATGTAGGCTTGCAAGTTTGGAACCTCTTCCTCTCTGCAGGAGGCGCTGTGGCCTCCGAGCGATATGGCCGACGAATTCTTTGGCTTCTCGGAACAATGATTATGCTCTTCTTCCTTTCCCTGATGACCATCGTGGCCGGGGTCTTTCAGGAAACGCATATCGCAGCTGCCGGCTTAGCCGTGGTGCCCATGATCTTCCTCTTCTTCTCCGGGTTCAATCTCGCATACTCGCCACTATTCATTGCCTATCCTGCCGAGATTCTGCCGTTCCCACTTCGCGCAAAGGGAATGGCCATCACACTATCCACGGACGCCGTTGCGTGCTTTTTTAATCAGTACGTCAATCCAGTCGCATTCTCGGCTATACAGTGGAAGTACTATCTTGTCTATGTGGGTTGCTTAACCTGGTTCTTGGTGACGGTATATTTCCTCTTCCCAGAGACAAAGGGGAGGTCTCTGGAGGAGGTTTCCCGGATCTTTGATCGCAAAGAGATTCGAAGCGAGGATTCTAGTGATACGAAAGTGGAAGAATAGGGGAAGGAAAGAGTTATCTGTGTCGATTTCGGCGCTTTGCAAAGTACATGAGTGCGTTATGCGCATATGGGAAACTCGCTGGAAGTTCATATTGTTTTTACATTTGCGTTCTTGCATCTATATGAGAATGACGATCTGGGTGAGATAATGCTGTGCTCGTGTATATCGCTTCACCTATGTTGTTACAAAATGATCCTCCATTTCCAACCCTACGTCCGTTCAACGCTTTCCCGAGAGGTTCTTTGCTCATCTCTCCCTTCGCTATCTAGAGTTGGAGATTGTGATAGACTATCCTGTCCCTCGTTTGTCCTTAAGACTTGAAATAACTCATCTGCCGTGAGATGGTCATTGACCCCCTCCATCAGGTGTGCATATCGAAGTTTGCCTCGTTGAAAGATCCATTCACCACCCTGCTGATTCCAATTGCCACCTCTCAGTGCTACCAACCCCCGTTTCCACATCTGCTTGAAACATTTGCCCAAAGCACTAGGAAAAGATTCTGGTGTGTAGGGTGGTGGAGTGGTAAATCCCTGCGTAGTCCTTTTCATGTGCAGAGTCTCGTATAATTTCCCCGAGGAATCGGTGTAGATAGGGAAAGCATCGGTGGTTTCTTCCATGTAGGGCACGATAAGGGAATGGTCGCCGCACCCGATGATGATCACTTGGGCTGGTTTGGCACTAGCCGGTATCGTATCGAAGAGGGTCTGAGTGAGTTTGCTGGATAGTGATTTGACATAGTCTTGGTCGTACAGACAGAAGAAATGGCGCACTAAATCTTCAAGGTCAGCCCTGGGGTCCTGGCGTCTTTGTCTATAATTCGATAGTCGCCAAGTCACGCACCAAAGATGACAATCGTGGTTACCGAGTCTCCTTTACCCGCGACAAGCTCGCCAAATCTGATACAACTGCCTTTCTTTGTCAGGATATTAAGCTCGTATGCCTCCTGAAGCGTTTCATCGCTCAAAAAGGTGGAGCAATCATCCGCGCAACTAGACATGGTGTGATGGGGTGTAAAGGCCAGCACAATTCTTGAGGGCAAGGGAAGATTAAGTACCCGTACAGATATTTCCATTCACTGGATCCCCGTCACTAACTTTAATCTAAAAAAACCATAAAGACCCTATGGAGATGTAAAGAGACTGCTCATGACATCATGACCTCTGGATAACGGAAATCCCGGGAGAACTTCGGGTTTTCCCGATGAGAGAAACTGGGCAGAATAATGGCCAAGGTTCCTTGGTTCGTTTGAAAAAGCAATTCAAAAAGACCTTGTGACCAAGTTCTGCATTTTGGCGTTGATGGTACTCGTGGTAAGTTTCGTGGTAACTTTGGTGGTTAGTTTGGTGGTTAGTCTGGATGGAGTGGAGACTGTCTCCTGGACAGAAGGGACCTCGATACACTGGTTATACAAGGTCCTTGATTATAGTTTCTATATAATATTAACGGAGCATTCTTTGTCATATACTACTTGAACAATACATAAATGCTCCAGTGGAACTTGAAGCATTGACGCCCAAAGATGATATACTTGATGATGGCCAATAGGAGCGGCTCCGATGTTGCTGATACCCCGCATGCAACACAACGCGCCAGTGCAACCTCGTCTTCTCTCAACTCCCTATATAGAGCGATCAAACGCCCCTAGTTGCGTCTATTGTACAACTACTAAGCGGTATCCAAAGGAGGGACAACATCGAAGAGCGGGAACCATCAAATTGGAGCTAGAGACGACGAACCTAGCCCCGCACCGAGTCCGTTCCCACAACATCCAGCAATATGAAAGAGCCCCAGCCCCCTCCAGAAGATGTCCCAGTCAGCATCGGCACTCCTGCTACATCTACCGAGCCAAGAGTACCTCGCTTCATCGTCATTGGCGCTGGCTCTCGGGGCAATGCCTACGCCCGCGCCGTCAAAACGACCACCCCTGGCGTCATCCATGCCGTAGCCGAACCACACGATTTCAAGCGGCGCGAATTCGGACGGAACTATATCTGGGGAGCGGAAGGATCTCCAATCGAAGGACAAGAATTCACCGACTGGAGGGAATGGGTGCGATGGGAAATTGAGCGGCGCAAAAAGGGCGCCTCCGACGAGAGTTCCAATCCGGAGCAGTCCACAGCTCCCATCGGGGTAGATGGAGTCTTCATCTGCACACTGGATGAGACTCATGTCGAGATTATTAGAGCTATCGCCCCGCTCAACCTCCACATTCTCTGCGAGAAACCTCTGGCACTCTCTCTAGATGATTGTCTAACCGTCTATCGAACTCTCCAACCACCTAACCCGCAATCCGCCAACCACGAACCGGAGTCGCCGACGAGGATCTTCTCCATTGGACATGTCCTCCGATACAGCCCACACAATACACTGCTCCGGAAATTGCTCCTCACAGACCGCGTCATCGGAGACATTGTCTCCCTCGAACACACCGAACCAGTCGGCTGGTGGCACTTTTCCCACAGCTATGTCCGAGGAAACTGGCGTCGCGCCACAGCGAACGGCGACGGTTCCCTCCTCACAAAATCCTGCCACGACATCGATTTCATTCTATGGCTGCTCTGCTCGCCGACAAGCCGCGAGAGCGCCCAGCAGCCACATTTCCCACGATCCATCTCGTCAGCAGGCTCCTTGACGCAGTTCCGGCGTGCCAGAAAACCCGCTGCAGCCGGGGACGCTACAAGTTGCGTGTCCTGCCCCATCGAGCGCGAATGCAAGTACAGCGCGGTCCGAATTTACAGGGACCGACACCTCGCAAAGGGCCATCGCGGGTGGCCGGTTGACATTGTATGTCCGGATATCGAAGACGTCTACAGAGCAGAGGAGGCTGCAGCCTCCGAAGAGCATCTACTCTCGCGACTACGGGAAAACTACGACGTCCGTGTCCAGTCGGACAGCGACATCGCCGCGAGACCGTGGTACGGGCGCTGCGTGTACGAAGCAGACAACGACGTCTGCGACGACCAGGTCGTAACACTCTCCTGGGATGACGAGGTCGGCGAGCCGAAGCGACTAGCTAAAACGGCTACCTTCCATATGATCGCGCCCACGGAAAAGCAATGCGAGCGACGGGGCCGTGTCTACGGGACAGCTGGGGAAATAGAGTATGACAGCAACACGATCTCCATCTATGATTTTGGCTCGGCAAAGATGAGGGTTATTGACGTGCCACGTCCGCCGCCGGAGAGGGCTGAGTCGCATGGTGGTGGTGATTACGGTCTTGCGGGACAATATGTGAATGCCGTCAATGCTGTGCTGAATAAGGGGTTGGATGTTGAGACTGCTCAGGCGCGGTTTATCGGGTGTACCCTTGAAGAAGCGGTGCAGAGTCACGCTGTGGTTTTTGCGGCGGAGGAGGCGAGGAGGGAGGAGCGTGTTGTTAAGTGGAAGACTTGGTGGGAGGAGAAGCTGAAGGGCTCGCTTGCGTGAGAGGAGATGGGAGGCGGGAGTTTCAAGCGTAGTGCTTCGAAATTTTATGACTTTACGATTCATGATGATGATATGTTGAAGAATTTTTCTGACACTGTAATCTCGAAGACCAACGCCAGTGCCTTCACCGGAATGTGATATGTATGAACAATTCAGCCATGTCCAATATACCTCCCTAGAAAATCTGAGATATGAGAAATCGTCCTTCTCATGAATCGAACCCTTGACCTTCACATTCCCTATATACCTCCCCATAATGCTCCGTCGCCATCCCACGATGCTCGAGTACATACTCTTGAGGCTGGCCCGGTCTTAACCCGATGCCGTACCCAATGTATCAGACACACTCTACACTTCTCCTAGTAATAATAATCACTAAAAGTAAGTAATATCTTAACTAGAGAGGCTTCCTAACGGAAGAGATTATATTAAATAACAATAATTACAAAAAGAAGAAGTGCCGCGAGTGAGGTGAACCACCTCACTCGCATCCCGCCCGCCCACTCTCCCCGCCTAGGGATGTGCCTGGTCACCCATGGAGATCCTGCTCGACACGGGAGACCGGTACTGTGATTTCCCCTCATGGGGCACACCCAAATGGTCCATCCACTGTGGTGGTGTCCAACTAGGCCATATGAGGGGGGAGAGTGATTGGAAAAACTAGAAGTTAATGATAGACCTTTGAACGGTTGGATGTGAGGATTACAAGCCTATGACATGGACATTTAAGGTTGGTGTTGCTTCCATTGAAACGGTGATAATCTAGCCTCTGGAAAGCTTCACAGTTCATGCCGAGGAACGAACATCGTATTCATATTACTCGAAAAGGCCTCGGTCTATCCAATGCATCGTCCCAGCACGTCATCCATTTCTTCATTCATTATCATAGTTATCGGCTCATTCCAAACATGAACGAATAACGATATTAAACAGGAAAGAAAATTAACCTCACGATTTCCATCCAGTGGATTGCGCAAGACATTCAAGACACAGAAAGTCCTCCAACTCAAGTCTTAACATCGGGCTCCTCACGGCCAACATACTCCTTGAACTTGAGCAGGCTCAAAGCAGAGGCAACGTTGTCGGCCAGGTACTCCTGCGCACTGAGGCCAAACTTGGACGCATCGCTCTCGTAGCGCTCAATGTACAGACGGATGGTGGCGCCACTGCTGCCGGTACCGGACAGACGCACGACGATGCGGCTGCCATCGTCGAACTTGGCGTACAGACCCTGGTTCTTGGAGACGCTGCCGTCGAGATCGGTGTAGGAGAAGTTGCCGGCATCGACAACCTTGCGGGAGCCAATACTGGAGCCAACGAAGGAGCCGCTAGCAACGAGATCGGCCAGGGTGCCGACAACCTTGTTGGCACCGTCGCTGTCCACGTTCTCGTAGTCGTAGCGAGTGAAGAAGGTACGGCCGTAGGTCTTCCAGAACTCGTTCTGGATGGAAGCAATGCTGGGGGTTTCCTCGGGCTTCTGCTTGGCAACACCCGCAATGATGTTCAACCAGGCGACGACCGCCCAGACACCGTCCTTCTCACGGATGTGGTTGCTGCCGGTGCCGAAGCTCTCCTCGCCGCAAATGGAGATCTTCTTGTTGTCAAACAAGTTGCAGAAGAACTTCCAGCCAGTGGGCACCTCGTAGCTCTGCAGACCCTGGGCCTGAGCAACGCGGTCGACGGCACCGGAGGTGGGCATCGAGCGGGCGAGGCCGTAGACGCCCTGCTTCTGGAACCAGGGGATCAGTTTGGCGTGGTGTGCGATGATGGCCAAGCTGTCACCGGGAGACACAAAGGACTTGGCACCGTAGATCATGTTACGGTCACCGTCGCCGTCACTGGCGGCACCAAAGTGCACACCGTTCTTGTCAACGGCCTCGACGAGCTCGTGAGCGTACACCAGGTTAGGGTCGGGGTGACCGCCGCCAAAGTCCGGCTTGGGCACGCAGTTCATGGTGCTGCTGGCGGGCAACCCGAGCTCCTTGACGAAGATGTCCACACCGTAGGGACCGGTGACACCGTGCATACCGTCGAAAAGCACCTTGAAGTCCTTGTGGGAGCTCAAGAACTCCTTGATCAGGTCAAAGTCGAAGATCTCCTTCATCATGGTCACGTAGTCGGCGGTGGAGTGAACGACTTCCACCTCGAGGGGACCGTAGGTCTTGGTACCGACGGTGGAGAGGTCGACATCGGGGATCTCGGCGTACTTGTAGGAGGTGAGGGCCTTGGCGGTCTCGAAGATCTTGTTGGTCACGCCCTCGGGGGCGGGGGCACCATTGGCAAGGTTGTACTTGATGCCAAAGTCGTTGTCCGGACCTGAACGATGATTACAGCGTCAGTGATCTGAAAGGAATGCACTCCATTGAATAGACAAAAAAGAGGAGACAAAAAAGAGGCTCGTTCTGTTTACTTACCACCGGGGTTGTGACTAGCGGTCAGCAGAATACCACCGGTCGCCTTGCGCACGCGGATCAGGTTGCTGGCCGCGGGGGTACTCATGATACCATTCTGGCCGACCAGCAGCTTCTTGACACCGTAGGCAGCGGAGATCTTGGCGATCTTGTTGATCACTTCGTCGTTGTAGTAACGGCCATCACCACCAATGACGAGGAAAGAGTTCTCGACACCCTCTGGAATGGACAAGAGAATGCTCGTAACGAAGGATTCGGAGTAGTGGGGCTGCTGGAAGACCTTGACCTTCTTGCGGAGACCAGAACTGCAGTGTGGGTTGTCGATTAGTATTTACACCAGGGATGGCGGGGAGATGGAAGAAGGAGATCAGTAACGTACGTGCCCGGCTTCTGGTCAGCAAAGGGCTGAATGGAGACGGTTTGGACCGACATTATGAGAGGTTTAGAGAGAGGAGAGGTGAGGGGAGGGGGAGGAGGAAGGAAAGAAAGGAGGAAGTTGACCGACAAGCAGGAGAGGAGGGGCTGGCGTCATGTGTTGATCATCCCACTTGGTGGCACTAGAACCAGCCCACTTTAGCTGCCAACTAACCAACTGAGACAGCTCAGTTGTGCATGGGCCTGGGCTCGGACAAGGATTGAGGGTCAATTCCAAGTTACAGCTTTCAATCCAACCGTAACTAGTCCTTGTAGGGCGGCTGTTTATGTTCTATGATCTGTCATGTAGAGCGAGATGTTATTCCTTCCCCTGGCAATGCCAGTGGTAATACCCGTGGCATTGATACCACTGGCATTGATCCCACGAAGCTTCCTAAAATCCGACTGCCCCACGGAGCAGAGAGCTCCCCCCAACAGGACCCATAAACTCAATTGGTATCAAAACATAACGAATCAACAAGTACTCCATCCAGCAAAAGAAAAGAGAAAAGAAAAAGAAAAAAAAGAAAAAGAAAAAAAAGAAAAAAAAGAAACGACCCCCCAATTCCGAAAACAACAATCCACCTTCCTATTCCCACTCCTCAGTTCCCACCGAACAACTTCCCCCGATAAAACCTCATCTCCTCGATACTCTCCAAGATATCATCTCTGGCCAAATGCACCTCCTTCTTCTCCGGCACCTCCGCCAACAACTCCGCACTCCCCCACCGCCTCGCCGCCTCCTTAATACTACTCACGTCCAGAATCCGATAATGCAAATACTCCAGCACCTTGGCGTAGGGCCCACGGGCGAGAAAGGCCTTATCGGCATGGACGCTATTCCCGGCCAACAAGGCGGTGCGCGGGGCGGGGACGTGGCGCCGGATGTACTCCAGCAGCGAGTCGGCGGCGTCGGCGGCGGTCGTGGTTGAGGCCCGCACTGCGGCGGTCAGGCCCGTGCGGCCGTGGGTGTCGATACACCAGGCGGACATGTTGTCGAGGACCGAGTCGGGGTGGTGGATGACCGCGTCGAAGCCGTGCGGTTCCAGGAGTTGGAGTTGCGCGTCGGTGATGAAGCAGCAGATCTGGAGGATCGTGTCGTTGTCCGAGTCGAGACCCGTCATCTAGAGATTTGTGAGATGAGGGGAAGGTGGGAGGGGGGGGAGAAAACACGGTACCTCGCAGTCGATCCAGACCAGGGGGTCATTGGAACGGGCAAGTGGCATGGTGGAATTGTAGCGTAGGGAGCGAAATGGCTATAAGTGGTTCGTTAATGATGTCCTGTTGGGAGGCGTAGTACGTACGAAGAGAAAAGTCTCGGGCAAGGTTGGATGTGGGCGGGAATGCACCTGGTGGAGAAGACTGCCGCGTTGGCCCAGCGGGAGTCGCGACGAGACGAAGAATGAATGGGACGGACGAAGACGTCGGAGAAACATGATCAACATGATCCTCAATGGGGAGGAAAGGTGATGAACGTGGTCCGAAGCCAGGTTAACGGACCTCTGGCCTCTTAAGTGGTGGACTGTAGAATTAACTAGGTCTACCACAGCTTAGCCAATGAACCCTACGAAAGCACTCGATGCCTCTAGGTCTAACACAAAACCTCGTTATCATTTTCATAAACATGCCGCCTACGGGGCGACCCAGGCAAATGTATTTTCCTTCCAAATCCAAGGATGCTTCCTGTAGTTGTAGATAGGGGGACATAACGGCGTCACGATCGAGAGGAATCCAAAAGCGAACGGCAACATTGAACACAAAACAGGATGAGAGTTCCAAATCGCTCCCGGAACACATATAACAAATAACGGGTGGAAAAGGCAATGCTAATGTTGCATGGACGACGGCGCTCAGCAGGAGAACCCTCTCTCCTCATTGCACATGAAGAGGAGCGACGGTCTGGTCTATCAATCCAAAAGTCCTTCCAGGATCGAGTTTTGAAAAGAGGAGAAAGCTACGAGAGAACCCCAAATGAACGTCACAGCTCTTCATCCTCGTTCTGCGAGTTGGCGGCTGGTGCTGGCTGCGAGTCAATCTTGTCGCCAAATGACCCCGTGCTGGCCGTCTTGTTGTCGTTGATGTCGCCCAACACTTCGTTGATGCGGCCAGATGACTCGGCAATCCGCCGGCGCAGCGCATTCTCGTCTGCACCCGAGACACTGGCCCGTTGTTTCTTCAACGGGCTGCCCAGGAAAGCTTCCGTGACATCTCCGGTGGGTTGAACTGGCTCTGTGGGTTTCGCAGGTGTAGTCTTGGGCGGCGTAGTGGATCGTCCCGTGCTGGCAGGAGGTGTAGTGCCCGAAGCAGGGGTATCGTTGGAGGTAGCCCCACCGCTAGACAGAGGCTCGGCAGAGTGTTGGCGCTTGAGCTGTGGGACGGTTAGCACGTCTCAAATATATTAACATCGGTGCTCCTGCAGTCCCAAAAGCTTACGCGAATCCTTTCGACACCCTCTGCCAGTTCTCCCTGGCGCTTGATATCATC